GGGTTAGACTTATCGCGTCCAGACAAGACGCGATAAGTCGAACCCAGAAGTTCGATTGCCAGCCGCCGAACTAGCGGCTGGGTATAGACGTACCCTTATGTGACTGTTTTTAGTTGATACCAAATGTACTTAGAGCCATTTTTGTGAATTTTAAATCTCAAGAACTATATGGGTTTGTCTTTTATTATTTTGTACAATTGTCTTTGTTTGGCTGCATGACCTAGCATCTCAACCTTGCACGTTATTTTCTTGTTGTAACTGAACAACATGAAGAGAACTTAAATGTAAAATTTTGTGTGACTAACCTTAGCGATGGTGTGCTTCAACTGAACTTTCTAAATGTGAGGGAAGAGGTGCTTGCCCTTTGCCTGTTCCACACTTGATGTGTAAATGTCATTCTCTCCATTTATGGGCATGCCAGAGTTGATAGAATATAGCATGTAAGACATTTTTTTACACATTTTGAGGGAGTGATAGTTATTTTCTACCATCTGCAGCCAAACTCCTAAAATAAACGTATACATTTCAAAATTGTCATTCTCTGACATATCAAGTTAATTATATATTTAAACTCTGGGGTTTCTGGATTTAAAATGGGTCTCATAAACTAGAGACCAGATTGTGCCAATATGGGGCTGTTCCATGTTGTTGGCAGTGCTGAGCTTCGTCATCGGGAAACTCTGGGTGGGGGAAGATATCAACTCTCTTTCAGGTCCCTTGTGAGCAGGAGGAGTGCACGTCCCTTTGAATGGCGCAGCCTGCCCCAACCCCATGTGTGCTTAGCCAATTTCAGGGTGAAAGTGGGATGGAGGGAGCAAGACCCCTTCCTGTTGTATGGGGGCACACAGATGGAACACGTCCTGCATGCTCCTGAGCACAGAGCTGCTATTGTGTCTGGTGGGAGGAATAATAGGGTGAAGTCTGCTTTCGCTCTCGTTCTCTCAACAGCCACTCGAAGACCAGATACAGTGGAAGGGAGATGTGGAGTAATGTTTACTTACTGCATCAAATCTGTTTTACCCAGTGTCCATTGCAAGTCAATAGCATTCTCTCCGGCGTCCTACTTAACACTGTAGGACATAAAAAAAACGAGGAGTCCTTGTGGCACCTTAGAGACAACTCCTCATTGTTTTTGCTGATACAGACTAACATGGCTACCACTCTGAAAACTGTAGGATATGTACTCCATGATCAGCAAGATGTTATAAAGGAGTTGTAGATATACCCCTTTGCACATCATGATAAAAATGTGTTCCCCAGACTTCCATCAAAACTCTGAGTTGTCAGTGATATCTCTGATTATTTAGTTCAGTCATATTCATTTTGTTGAGTTACACTATATCTAAAAATTTTTGAAAGGCAAGTATGTACAGCTGCTCTTTTGGGGAGTCAAGTGCTGGGAAACAAAACGTTGCTTGTGTGAGACTCTCTGAAACACAGCAGAGGTTGGAAACAGCGTTCTCAACCTCCACACATCTTTCTAATTCAGAACACACATGCAGCCTTGCTATGTGCGGCTACTGGGTTTTGGGAAGTAGCCAACAAGGTCAGCCCTCAGCTCTTATGCTAATTTTTCATGATGTGGATTTGTGTTGTGCATGCTCCAAACATATACACATTTTCCCTTTTCTCTGATGCCTTGTGGAGAGCTCATTAACGGTATGGAATGGATGTATGAACTCCCTATTGTTTTGGCCACCGGTGCAGCAGGAATGCTGAGATTCTCGTAGCTTTGGCCCTAACATGCAACGTAAGAAAGTTCAAAATTTGGCTTTTCTCTTTCAGAGCTAGCTCCACAGATCATCCAACCTGATCTATGCCTAAAACTTGGGTCAACCTAGCTACATCACTCAGGAGTATGAAATACTATAGACCCTGCTAGGCCTAGCTACTGCCTCTTGAGAGGGTGGAGTTGCTACATTAACAGAATAACACCTTCTCTTGCTATAGCAAGTGTCTTCATTACAGTGCTATAGCAGTGTGGCTGAAGCTGTGCCACTGTAGTGTTTGTAGTGTAGATATAGCGTCAGTGTTGTCGGTAACTGTAGGGGACAGAATCAGAGCTGATGGATAGCTGCTGAGGGACTAGCCCCCACCTTCCAGAGATTCCCTCAGTTGTGTTCTATGTCCTGTAGCTACTGGCAGGGTAGTGGAATCCAGCACCTCCTGCAAGAGAGAATTACAATAAAACTGCAGAAGTGATTTGTGTTCTGTCTGGAATTACCACAGCACCTGCTCAGGTAACAGACTAGAAGGATGGTGGAGAAAGGTCCAAAGTGGATACCAAGACACTGTCCTTCGGTTGCCCTGGAATTTGCAGCTGTTAAAGTTATTTAACACTCTGCCCGTAGCTCCATCAGATGTTTACTTTTTTTTTAACTATTAGGTATAACTATGATTCCCTTCTCCTGTTTCCTAAATAAATAAGTACTAGTTAGTAATTGGAAATCCCCTTAAAGGGCCAGTTGAGCAAAGCACTTTAGCACTCAACTAACTTCAAGTGTGTGCATGCCAACTGGAGTCCTTACTCACATGCTTCCTTTTAAGACTCCTCACATTTCCCACATGCTAAAGAGTTTGGCTGAACTGGGGCCAGGGCCCAAAAGGATAAAATATTAGAGCCAGTAAAAAAAAAGTAAATTTAGATTTTTTTCATTGAGAAAAGGGACGGCTATTTTGTGAAAATTTTAATGAAAAATGTCCCCATGTTCAGTATGAACATTTTTTTAACCTGCCCTGCCCAAAATTTGAACTAGGAGCCTAGATAAAGGAGGACTCCTATTTGTTCACTGAATTATTATTTGCTTGTATTCCTGTAGTCATGGAACCGGATCCCATTGTGGTAGGTGTTGTACACAGAACAATAAGACAGTTCCTGACCCCAAAGTTCTAAGTAATCATTGTGCTGGCTTACATATATATTTGAACCCAGCACTGCTATTAGAATTGGTTCAGAAAACCATGCAATGAAATTGTTACTAGCTCTATATTTCTTTTATTTTCTGGAATCTGCAGCTGTTTATTACCCAATTATGTAGTCTAACTCAATGACTTTCTTCGTGGTTGAATTAACTCACTTCTAAGCCTGTTACCATGTTTCCTCCTTCCTTGATCTGATGTAACTGCTCTCGGGATATCATGGAAAAGGAAATTTCAAAGGCACTAGTTATAATACTTAGACCTGACTGACCTTTTCCAAACACAAGGCAGTCAGCATGGGAAACACGAGCTGTTACCATTTTATAAAGTGTAATCACAATCCTATAGATTTTGGTCATTCTTTCAAGCAGTTACTGACTTTTTAAGCTCTTTAACTTTCATGGTTCTGTGGTGGTTTATAAATATGTATATTTCACAAGCACAAACAAACCCAATGTCCCATGAGCATCATAATTGCGAGTGGGTGACAGTTATTGAGTGAGGGGAAAATCTTCCACATGAATAAAACAATTCTGCATTATATAGTGCTTCAGGAAATGTTATTTGTAGCATTTATTGCAGTAGTCTTCACTTTTAAAGAATTGATAATAGTGCTAGTCTGTTTTGTAAGACACAGTTCTTTTCACCTTTTTGTAGCTTTTATTGGTGTTCATCATACAGAAGGTTTTGATCCTCATTTAAGCCAAATTATGCCTACTGTTGTTTTGAGAGTTAAAATTTCACGACTGAACTGAACTTTACTTACAAAGAGCAGATTTTATTAGATATGTATGTTTAATTTTGTTTGTTTCAGTCTAGTTATTTATTTTATGTATTTAGTGCTGTACAAATAAAAGATGTTTCGGTTCACTAGCAATTCTGGGGGGGAAAAAAAAGAGAGGGTTGAACAAAACATTTTGTTAGATCCCAAATGAAACGTTTTGTATTGATTTTGAGAGCTTTTAAATGTTTTACATGTCCAAAAAAATGAAGGAAATTTTGAAATGGAATTTCTGAATGTTTTGTTTTGACATTTTTGTGGGTTTTGTTTTTCACATAAACAATTTGGCAAAACATTTCAGTGTTGTCATATCGGCCATTTTTTTCACTCTTTTTTCAGCTGAATTTTTTTCCCCCAGTTCTACATGTGACGTTTTAAAGATGGGATTTTCAAAAGAGACGTAAGAGCCCAAATCCAACTGAAATTCAGTGTTCCATCCTTACTCCTCTAGGGGTGCAGGATCCACCCCAACATGATACCAATATGCACAGTATTCCGTATGATTGCAATGGAAACTTTTTAAATATGAAGTAGATGTAAACCAATTTAATCATATCTGCCTCAGTTTGTGGACATCCTGAAAGACTATGAACTTTCCCATTCCTCTCAGTGAAGCAATAACTGTGAAATCTGATGATAATTTAAATGTCAACATTAACTATTTTGCTGCTGATTATTGTAGCAGAAACATCAAGCTAATGTGTTTGTGTGTCAGGTTTGGGAGGCAAAGGCAGACATTGGGATGGAATACAATGGGGAAACTTGTGCTGGAGTGAAAATTCAAACGCCCGCTCTATATGTTTTAAGTTACCTCTACGTTTGGAGGACAAGGAAAGAGGAGGTGCATCCCTTCCTCCTCAGCTATCTCCTGGGTTCCAAAATAATTCCCCCACCTTCTTGGATGCCAAAAATTACAATTCTCCCCTATCTAGTTACCAAAACCCTGCAGCTTTTCTTTGACTACTACAGTGTTGCTTTTCATATTTTCAATACCAGAATCTGCAGCACACTGCAATTCTGGGGCATTGTAATATAAGATAAGTGGATTCACACAGAGAACTTGTATTAAGGGGGCTGAACTGAGTGGAAGAGTAGTATGCATAATTTTCAAGTTATTGATATGTGTAACCTTGATTACTTGGCTATCACTTTATTTCAAAGACATATTTTGCATTAATTTCAGCTTCCAGTTCTGTTTAGTTTTTCACACTGAGATTATTGCTAGGTAAATGATATTTTTTTTTCAGAAGAACAAGAGAAATAAGTTCTAAGAGGATGAAATAGTTTTTTTATTTTATAGCAGGTCATAGGTGTGAAAGGGAGGATGGAAGACAGGGTCCTACGCAGAAAGCTGTTCAAGAAAACAGGGAACAAAAATATCTGTATGCTGGTGTTGCTCCATATGATCCCGCGAAAGATCCAACAAAGCAGATGGGCAAGAGGTATTCAAAGGTATGAAACGCTCATTGAATCAAAGCCAATCTTCTGTGTTTTACTAAGTTAGCAGGAAAGATAGTGAGTCAATGTAACTGAGAGCAGAGCCTGGCTCTATATTATCACATGTTCAGATAATATATGTAGGGCAAACATCTAACCATTAAAGAGCTCTTGAGTTTGTATCTTTCTAGCTTGATTGTCTGAACAGAATAGTTCAGACAATTGAATGGAGTTGTAAGAATACACAGTAGTAGCGAGGCTGGGTCGGAAGTCCTGCCTCAGGAGCCCAACCACTGGATGGGTGACAGTGAGTGAGTGCACTAGGATAGGGAGCGCACAGAAGCTGCACTAGAGTTCAAAACTCTAAGCAGAAATTCTGACTGCAGTCTTACTTCTCTGTATCACATGCTCTTAGTAGG